TACTCACTCTGGATGGTGAGCAGATTGAAGTAGTCGAGAAGTTCGTGTATCTAGGTAGCTGCATAAGTGCTAGTGGTGGCATGAGTGATGAGATCAATGCACGTATAGTGAAAGCCAGAGAGGCTTATGCCAATCTGGGACACCTTTGGCGCCTTCGTGATGTTAGTCTGGCTGTAAAAGGTCGGATCTACAACGCGACGGTGAGAGCAGTTTTGCTCTATGCTTGTGAAACCTGGCCTCTCCGAGTTGAGGATGTTAGACGACTCTCTGTGTTCGATCATCGCTGTCTCCGAAGGATTGCTAACATCCAGTGGCAATACCATGTTAGTAATGCAGAGGTTCGGCATCGTGTGTTCGGGCACAGATACGACAATGCAATTGGTGTCACCATCTTGAAACACCGACTTCGGTGGCTTGGACATGTTCTACGAATGTCGTCCCAGAGAATTCCACGTCGTGCATTATTTGCCGACTCTGGGACTGGTTGGAAAAAGCGGAGATGTGGTCAGTATATGGCATGGTGTCGTGGTACGAAAGAAAGCTGCGAAGGGCTGGCTTGTGTTGGTCCTTCACGACTCCCTGGCTGGGGTCCGAGAAATGGTGTGACACAGTGGTTAGAGACGTTATCAGATATGGCTCAGGATAGAAGCCAGTGGCGATCCTGCTGTAACCTTCTTTTACTTTGTTCATAAAAAGTGGCTGTATCCTCCTTAAATGTAAGATTTCTTCTGAGTGAACCTTTTCGTCTCACCCCATTATTGTTCTTTTTTTTTATAATCCCCTACGTTCCTTACTTTTTTTCCCTTTCTTAAATTCTCATTCTTTTGTGTGGCACATATATATTTGGTGCCCCCCCTGTACCAATATTTATGTGTTCAAATAAATAAAATAAAAATAAAAACCACAAGGGCTGATGAGACTTCCGAGATAAGTGAAGCGGTCGACACGCTCAACTACTTCACTCCCCATCACTAGTTCGGGTGTCGACGCAACCCAATCCTGAAGCAACATTTTGCATTTCGAGGGAGAAAATCGCATGCCGAACATGCCTGCATTGTTGCTTAGAGTGGTCAGCAGACTCTGCGTTCCGTCAGCGTCTTCACTAAGTAGAACTATGTCATCGGCATATTCTAAGTCAACAAGTGGATCTCCCGGTAGAAGTTCAACCCCTAGAAATTTAGATGAGGAAAGTGTCATCTCTAAAAGGACGTCAACAACAAAGTTAAACAAGAATGCAGAGAGTGGACAGCCCTGACGAACACCACTTGAGGTAGTCAGTTCTGATGACAGTTCGCCATAAGCCCCCAAATGCCCTGGTATGGCCGAGAGTGGGGAGAGTCCGCTCTCCCTCTCGAATTGCTCTCACATGGTCACGCGTATATAGCCTCTACCAGGGAAGTCCTATTCGCTGCCTTCTCGTGGCGGGGGTGTTGTCTACAAAAATGAGAGGACGAAAAGCGAATGTCCGGCGCTTTAACCGGACCCCAAACCAATGGTGCACATGGGCTCCAGTATCCTGAAGGAACAAATGGTGTATGAACCAATTTCTTGGTCACCGGCTTCCATGGGACTGCATCTCCTTACGATGCTCCACTGCCTTGTGGATCAGACGTTCAGGTTGAAGGCTCGGGGTGTAGTCCCCTAAGAAAACCACCTGCTTCGGTCTGGGCACCCGGACAGTATCACAGCCCACACACAAATAAAATGAAAATTTGTGTGGCGCGTATATATTTGGTACCTCCTTGTACCAATATCTGTGTTAAAATAACTAAAATAAATAAATCTCACTCGACCAGTTGTGTTCGAGTAGAGAGCCTTTTTAAGGTTAATGTACTTCTTTGGTACTCCTTTCACTGACAAACACTGCTATAGAACCTCACGATCAACAGAGGCAAATGCCGCCTTAAGGTCGAGAAATACTAGCATTGTGGGGCGTCTGAATGTGTGTCTATGTTCTAGGACCTGACGTAGTGTGAATATCTGATCTATACAACCACGTCCAGGTCGAAAACCAGCCTGGTTTTCTCTAGTCTGCTCTTCACGAGCTTTGGTTAGACGTCGAAGTATTATTGAAGCTAATATTTTAGACACTATATTAGTCAAACTAATTCCTCTGTGATTGTCACAGGAGGACTTTTGTCCTTTCTTATAGACTGGTACAATCAGTGATTGAGACCAGTCAGATGGGATTACGTCCAGTTCCCAGATTCTACCTAAGACCTCAGTCAATCTCGCTGCTAATACTGGACCACCATCCTTAAAAATCTCAGGGGTAAACCTGTCAGGGCCTGCTGCTCTCCCACGCTTTAGATTACCTATAGCTTTTTCAACTTCGTAAAGAGTCGGAGGACTTACATTAACTTGCCATTCAGGTAGAGTGGAGATCGTGGGAAACCGAAGTGTGGCTGAAGGCCAGTTGAACTGATCCCTAAAGTGTTCTGCCCATCGATCTAATCTCCTGGATTGAGAATGAATAATATGTCCATCTTTCTCTGAGATTGTTTCGCTAACAGTTGGGTTCCTAATACCGGTTTCCTTAACAAGTCTGAACAGTTGCCTACTGTTACCTATTGCCGCTGCCTTTTCCATATCTCTTGCTTTCGCTACCCACCACTGTTAACGATCATTGCGTAGGCTTCTCGTCAGCTTACGCTTAAGCTGACTCCGCTCTTCGTTATGTTCAGAGCCAGACGGAATGGGTTTACGAGCATCTATCAGTGCGGTAGACGCTGCTGAGATCCAGTATTTCACCTTAACCTTATGATTTACCGTACTTGCACACACCACTGTTGTTTCTACAGCTTTTCGGATGTCATTCCACGCTGCCTCGGGGTGGGCATCACTTACATGGCTGCCTAACTGTTTTTTCTAGTTGTTCCTGAAATATACTCTTAGCTTGACGATCATTAAGTAGGACCCTAAGGGGTTTCAATGAAGCGTTTTTCCTACGTCCAGTAAGACCCAGACAAATACGCGCTCACACTAGAGCATGATCTGAGTCTAAACATGTGCTCCAGAATGAGTGACAGTCTTCTATCGAGCCCCTCCATCGGTGACTGATAGCGATGTGATCTATTTGGGTCCAACGTTGAGACGAATTTGGGGGTCGCCATGTCAAAAGATGTTTTTCCTTATGTTTAAAGTTAGTGTTTGCAAGAAACAGGCGGTTATCTGAGCATAGCTGCAACTGACGGTCGCCGTTATCTGTTCTTTAAGCCGCGACACCATAAGACCCACCCAGGTGTCTTTCCCTTTCGCTTAGTTTACCTACTTGAGCATTAAAGTCACCAGCCACTATTACTACATCTGAACGCCTAGCTTTTCGGAGAAGGTCGGAAAGCTTTCTGTAAAACTCATCTTTTACATTATCTGAGCTGCAGTTAGTGGGAGAGTAGACAGAGACGACGAAGAGGCAACGACGAGTGTCCCTAACTTTCCGAGTTCTTACTGTTCCGTTTAGTCGGACAGCGCACAAACGACTGTCTACTGGGATCCAGTCTAAGAGAGCTAGTTCCGCCCTAGGACTCAGTGCTATACCTACGCCAGCGAGGCCACGGGAAGCAGCATCAGGGCTTCCAGATACACGGAGCGTAAATCGAGTTGGTTTGTTACTTTGACATGGTGAGGTCAAATGAATGACACTACTCGGATCCTGTATGCGCATTTCGGAGACGCAGCACACATCGATGGAGCGAGATTCTAAAGTCCTAGCTAAGGAAGCCTGTTGTCCTATTCGGCACAGTGTTCGGACGTTGAAAGCTCCTACGTGTAGTTTACAACGTGGTTTCAGGAGACCAGGAATAACATTCCGCGTACTCGAATCGTTTGCACTAGCGGGGCGAGGTGATAAAGGGACGTAAGAAGGGTTAGTCGTGGAGATAAGAGAGTTATTAGGAGGTGTAGGGAGGATTTGAATGTGACCAACTTGGTCTCGTGTGCTGTTACGGGTATGGGGGCTGATGTCACTTCCCGGTTGCCCACACCGTGGAAGGGTAGAAGATACTCGTAAGCTACTAGTATTTGACCACAGATGCCTTAGAAATATTGCTCGCATCTGCTAGGATCACCGTGTAATAGTGAGGTTATACGCAGGGTATTAGGGAATGATGGTAAATCAGTTGATGAGGTTATGAATCTTCATCGACTGAGTTGGTTGGGCCACGTATTCTTACGTATGCCTGAACACCGATTACCACGACGTGCAATGCCAGTCGGTGTTGAAGATGGTTGGAAGAAAGTTAGGGGCGGCCAAACCAAAACGTGGCATCAGTGCTTGAAGACACTAACTCCTGGTCTTAGTCATGTTGGTAGATGCAGACTACCTGGTTGGGGTCCGCGTGACTATCGTAACCAATGGTTGGAGACTCTTAGTGACATGGCTTAGAATCGATCACAATGGCGTAGGTGTATACACTCTCTGTCTGCCCTTAAACGGTGAGATTAAGGTCGCTATATATTTTTCTTTCTACCAATTAATTACTTCTTCCTGTACTATGTCCTTATATGCAACCTTTCTTTTGTATATTACCAACATCGAAGTAACGACTTTATGAATTTGGTGGTTATCTTGTTGTGCTAATGAGGTGCGGAAACTTAAACCGACACACATATGTGCTTGGTCCTACGTTGTAGCCGACTGACTGACTCAGACTTCATTAATGTTGAACCAGGAAAATCCAATAGCACTATAATGATTCATATCATGGTTACATTGACCAGGTAAGAAGTAACTGGGTATTCATAAGGAGTTCTTTAAGTACATAATAACGGGATGTTTTTACGTATATCTGTTTTTTTCTAATACACGCTCTTGAGAATCTAAACTGCTTGTTATAGGTTATCACATAAATCATCGTCATCAATTGCCACTCAAGGTTGCATTTAATATTGAACCTAGCTGTATATAACATTTTCCCATGAAGCATTTCCAACAAGTGGGTGTTGGTCAATCTGACGCAACAGATATCGCTATAAAACTAAAAGAATTAAGTAATACTCACTTTATAAGACAATTCCAACAGTCGCGTATCCTGGAAATGGTCCGCACTAGTAACACGTTTACAACGTACCACCTGAAACCATTGAGCATTAGTTGGGATTGGATTAGACATGAACGAATGAGCATTGTCAAATTCAACTTGCTTGACGAGCTGATATAGAAAATTACTTTCACTTGTGGATTGTAAACTGGGATTGAGTACTAAGCTCGAACAAACGACATCGTATTTAGGCCATAAACTGAACACAAAATCAGGATTTTTCAAGTGGTCCCAACTAATAAATCGTGATAATCGTTCTGAAGTCGGAACGCCAAAGAACTTTGTAACGTTGTCCCAAAGAGCTGGAATCCAACAGCGCAAAACCTCATTTATACCTAACTCGGACTGATCATCAGCTAACCCAAGACTCAAATTTTGACTTTCTTCATATTCTTGGTCACGTCTAATTTCTGTGCAAAGTGGAGTAGCGCCAAGTTGAAGCAAACGACGATAAAGCTTTTTAGCGACAAAGTTGAACATAGGATAAGAAGAATCACCAAGTCCAAGGACAGCAAAACGTAAATCTGGTGGGAGCGAACGACCTGGAATCAAAGCTCGATTCATTATTTTTTTCCAAAATAGTGACATATTATCTGGTGGAACACCATGACCCGTAGTGGAACAAACGAATATCACCACACCTTTTTCCTTCGCAAGTCGTGATACAGGTGTGTAGTCATCCATCGATAGTAGATGAATAGTAGGGAGACGTTCTAAATTAGATTTGACACATTCCTGATCAAAAATTCGATATGATTGGAGAGCAAGCAATTCAGCTAACGACTGAGCATTGCCCGTTTGACTACCATAAAGAATTGTGATTGAGTTATTGGTAGTTGCAGGGTATGATATGGAATGGTTCGTCTGAGAAAGCATGTGCTGAAATATAAGTAAAACTTCATTGTAGGTAAGAGTACCTACGAAGAAAGGAGTAACATTAAATTACTCACACGACATTACTTGTAAATTACATTAAGTCATTTACACTTAAAATGTTTTGTAAGCCTTCAAGGACGATTTATACTTATATTTATTGATTTAGATTATCTTAGGGTTATCAGAGAATAAATATTATCCTTCTTTACGAGCGCGAAAATGGTTTTTTTTTATTTTAACACCAATACAAGTGATACTGCTGTCCTACAAAAAAAAGATGATTCCTGATTATGCTACAGTATAACTATTATCTTGACAGTATTTTTAAACAAATGACGAGTCGTAGACAAGTGTATAATAATCGAAGTGGACAAAGTGAGTTGATTTAGGTTTAAAGTAGCTTCATTTGATCCACAGTGATGTTCAGGAGAGATAAATTAGATAGAAGTATATAGCTTTAGTAACGATTCGAAAAAAAGACGGATTTAATGGTCGTCGACCCATTGAAGTTTGTGAGACTTCCAAGATAAGTGAAGTGATCGACCCTACTAAGTAAATCACTCCCAATCGATAAAGCAGACAATCAATGGGTATTTTTTTTACATGCAACAGTTTTATTTGACGTTGATCAATAGAAATAATAAGTCTTATTCATTCGGAATAAGTACTTCTGTTATTATTACTCGTCATTTACTGTTTAGTTTATGTCCAAGTGTTTGGAAAGGACTGGTGATCAAGAGTACGCCGTTGTTTGAGCTCGTCACCTTCATTTATTCATCCAGTTAGTTACAAACATTGCAAAAACTAATCCAAATCTCTATACTGCTACGATTCACAACAGTTAACGGAAATCATCAGTCAAACAGAATAAATGGGACCGAGTAACAGGAAACACAAACGAACAAGACTTGACTTTTAGATCAAGCCAAAAACGTATATGTACCTCTTCAGCTGATTTTAGATCAGGTCAACTAACAATTACGACTATCCCGAGTCCTAAGCAAAATATGTTAAACTTTAAATGCAGTTCAACAAACTAAATAAATTTGAGTAAAGCACTACCACGAAATTTAGTTATGCTGGTGACACTGACCGGTTTTCGCATGTTTTTATAGCTAATGATCAGAGCAAAAGGAATAATAGATTTCGGAAAGTATTCTGACATCCGGCTAAACTAGGATAAAATCTTTAAGGACCAATATCGTGAAAGGACTGTAGACACAAGGTGTTCAAAACACTATTTGGAAAGCGTTTTTCCGCTTGTGAGTGTATTAATGGCATATAAAAACCTAGGACTAAATGAACTCATGGTCACGAAATAAATAACATTGTACTAGGGTTAAAAGACGTAGAAAATTGCAAATCAGTTTTCCAAAGTCAGTACTGCAAAATATTATGTTTAAAAAAATCAACTTGATTTGGCTGCGATGGTCAAGTCTTTTGGTTGTCTTAGTACTACTATGGCCTATCATATGAAGACACATCGAGACACTTCAACTTATTTCCGTTATCTTACCGTAGAATACTGGGTGATCTAATATTAGCTTATCGTATACTGAACGATGACCTTTGTATTATTATCTCTAATCTTTTCCTTCTGTCTAGGATTGATCATTTGAAAGGGCATTAGGATAAAGTTCGAAAACCGAGATCAAATCGTCTACTTCTGGAGTTTCGTTTCTCGCACTGAGTAGCGAATTACTGAAATTATATACCAGAAAATGTAATATCAGCACCTTCTTTTGATATATTCAAAACGAGATCGGGCCTCCACAGTTTAACAAACCGCAAGGACTAATGTGGGTCGATATACTTCCTATCCTTATAACTGAAGGCTGAAAACATTTGAGAGCACCCCAAACTGTGGACATTAGGTGAAAAGTTTTATAAAAGTAGGTTATAATGCTACAGAGTCGAAAACAATTGTGATGAATTATACACAACAAGCACAATACAATAAGCAACATGCAAATGTAACGCATACACCAAAAACCGAGGTCTTCAAGAAAGAAAATGAATTGGTAAATCATAGTAGGACACTATCCTTAGTCCTTAAGAATAGATCAAGTCGCCTCTTAAAGGACTCCTGGGAAGTTGCTTGGACTAGCTCAGCTGGCAGCGAGTTCCAGCATTTGACAACTCTTAAGGAGTAGAAATTGTGTCTGCAGTCCGTTCTACTATGTTGTATCTCCAGTTTTTGGGTGTTACCCCTTAGGTTAGTGTTGGGACTAAGCTTAATTAGGTGTTTAAGAGGGTGTCCAGGTGTGTTAAGGATAAGAATAGTAGGTTGGTGGACCTGCGTTAATCCTAATAGTGTGCCTTTCAGTGAAAGTCCAGCTTCTCCTTTAAAATGTTAAGCGATGGGGCTGATAGCACTTGTTCAGGTAAGACGTTTCAGACATTGAATAATCTATGAGAAAAACAGAACCCCACTTCATTAGATCGAGGTTTGTGAACCTTCTTCTTACAACATCGGAGATTATTAGTTCTGGATGGAGTAAAAAGATAAGACATGGCAACAACCAAATCGTAATTAAAGATGCGAAACGCCAGTACAAGGTCACCTGGCGTCCTGAGATTTTACAAGGGAGAAAAGTTTAGGTGTTTTAAGTGCTCATCGTAAGGGAGTTTGGAAAGACCCTACACTAGTTTTGTTCCCACAAGCTGAACACGCTCAAATGAGTTAGTATCTTTTATCAAACATGGGCTAGCTGTTTGAATACAGTACTCTAAGTGTGATCTTACATAGGTGGAATATAAAATTTGGAACATCTCGTCAAAGCGCTTGAATGCTCGACGAAGTGACTTTAACGCACGATAACCTTTGGCAGTAGTTGCGTTGCAATCCGTAGTTATTTTCGAGTCGCAACTTATCATTACCCTCAAGTTTTTGTAGTCTTGAATGCATGGAAGAGATGCATCATCAATAGTATAATGGTAACAATTACCGTGTCCGATATGCATAGGCAAACTCATATTAGAATTTCGCCTTAACCTCGAGCTTATCTAACCAATCAGTCTAAGTCAGCTTGGAGATAAAAATGATCAGCTTTACTTTTCATTAGTCTCCAGATTTTGAAATCATCCGCAAACAATAATGTCGACGACTTAAGCAATAGCTGCAACTCATTAATGTAGAGAAGGATGAGCAAAGGGACTAAGATGGAGCCTTGTGTCACACCACTTTTGATCGGCTTCCATTCGGATATCGTTTCCTTGACCCTCACTCTCTGTCTGCGGTCACGTAAGAGTTTCCTATCCAGTCCTGTATGGTACCTGTTATTCCGAGACTCGAGAGCTTCTGCGTAAGAAATAAGTGTGAAACCTTTATAAATATCACACCGACAGACAGGGCTGATGTCTAATCCTCTCTCGCAATAACAAAGCTCGTCAAGCATGAACGCATGTTACGAAACCCATGTTGCTCGGGAGTTAAAAAATTGTGTGGATCTATGTGACTTAGTAACTTAACCCGAATTATCTTTCCAAGTAATCTAACGACTATGCTAGTTAGACTCACAGGCTCGTAGTTAGAAACGATCTGTCCCTAACCACTCCTGAATATTGAACTGACTATAAAGTATTTCCAATCTCTAGGGAGTTGAGTGAGTGAAAGGCACATGTTGAAGTGCGTCGCCAGTGGTCTTGAAATAATTTCTGCAAGAGATGATAGCGGTCATGGATATAAACCACCAGGGCCCGATATCTTACAAAATTTGAGTTTAATGATCAATGAAAAAAGTTTCCGCAGTCACATGTACAGATTCGACAGTTGGTATTTCGTTGTGATTGGGACAAATATTCGTAATAATATACGTAGATTAGAATTCGTTAACATAGTTTGAAAAAGTCTCAGCTTTTGCCAGACCTGATTCAGTTAGTAAATCTGAATTTTCGTGCAATATCGACAAAGGAAAACCGTTAATACGTTTTGTTTGCCGTTTAACGTACGAAAACAATCGTTTCGGACAAATATGGCTATCACATGTCAACTGTCTTTCGTAAATAGTACGGCATCTAGCTATAGTCTTTTTACATACATTCCAGATTTTTGGTATTCACACTTCAATTGTTCATGTCCTGTTGACAAGAATAAGTCGCAGAAGTGTTCCCTACGGTTCAACAACCTTCGGGTTTCCTTAATAATCCATGGAGAGCAATGTGGCAGCTTGCATGTTGACCATCGGATAAACGGCGGTGTTACGAACTCGAATGCAGCCTTAAACTTATTCCATTCGTCTTTGACCGATACATCCCCATCGACTGACCAATCAATCGAGATAGCACAGTCTCTGATTTCCGGAACATTAGCTCGCTAGATGCCGGGACGGGGTGTAACAAATAGAAATTGTATACCATGTGCCTGAAAATTAAAGTAAAACACGACATGGTCATTATTCGCTAGTGTGTGAGGAAAGGGTCCGACAATGAGGTCTAATGTTCCAAGTCAATATGCGTCGGTTTGCGATACATCGTACAACTGCACACTGAATAATGGTTAATAAAAGGTAGCTACTGAAAACCTCGTCTGAAGCTGTAAGCTCTATCCAGTTGACATGCGGTGCGTTGAAGTTTCCGATAATGAGACAACATTCTGCCTTACTCCAAGAACGGATGTGTCTTAAGATAGAGTCGCCAGCAAGACAAAACGGAATACAGCACATTCCTCTTATAGTCACTAACCAGTGTCTAGACTTAGTTGTACAACATGCTACCTCACGTGTACCAACAACATGCGCCTCCGACATGATTGATTACATACGAGAATGATCATGCCGCCTATTTTGCGACTTATAACTCTATATTTTCCCATACAGATATAACCTGCAATGATGGGAGAACAGTCTTTATCTACGGCTAGCCAAGTTTCTGTGGAAACAACTATATCAAGACTTAATTCATCCACCACCAAACTTACCTTGAACATTTTATTTGGACGACTATGGGCGTTCGTGTAGCGCACATTTAAGGTATTTTGAGAACCATTCGTCCTAAACATATAGTTCTAGGAAGCCAATGCCTCCGAGACCTGACCACCCAATAACCCTGAATTGTAAGGTTCGTTTCTCCATTTAGTTTTCGAGTTTGAACTCCGTGAAGGAATTCTTTCCCTTGATCCGATCCTCAAGAGGCCAATCAGGACGGATAAGAATACTTAAACCACGAGTTTTGTATGCGTTATACATTATTACGTTTCGTTCATCAAAATCCTCGAGTACCAACTTCAAGACCCTTTCTAAAACGTCATGCAATTAAATCTAAATTCAAGACCCTTCTTGGTTGGGCCTCGTCTCCAACCCGTTTACCAAGTCTTATTACTTTCGTGAGATGTGTAGTGGCATTGGGCCCTACCACGAGACAATATGGGGATATAGGCATACAACATTTAACGCGGAGAAATACGGAAGAATGGAGAAGGCGGATATAAGAACTGAATAAATTAGGGTTGATCGTATGGCATGGCTCGGCCATGCAGGCGTGGTCCCTGCTAAATGTTACCTTATATCTTTTATTCATATTGAATATATCGTTCCATCTCTCGCCTAAGATTGTTCTATATCATGTATTGGTGATTGTTACGACGCAGTGAGTTGGTGTAGTTGATGATGTGACTTCCACGTAAGATCCTGTAGATTAGGCAGTTACATCATAAAAAATCTACAATTTTAGGATTAGGTTTATTATTAGAGCAGTGCTAATATCATAGTATACCATAATTCTACATTGATAAGCCCGACTAAAGAAACGCAATCTATTATTGTTATTCTGTATTTCCACTTCAACTTTCGATCGAGTTTTAATTAAGTAAACCCACTATTCTAATAGTCCTCTGATTAATGCTCATATGTATTATCGTAACGTCGTACTGATTAGTACTCATAACTTATTAGCTCAATCGATAATAAAAACTGGTCATCTATTTTAATTATTAGCTTTGATATTTCATCAACAAGCTTTAATAGCATCTACATGCTACAGCGAAATAAACTTATTTACACATCAAGCTCTAGCAAATATGACCTGTAAATAACGTAAATATACATTGACTAGCAATGTAAGCAAGGACTAAACAATTATCTGGATCTAATTCTTTATATTGTTTCTTCACTTAACTCCTCATTCTATCTTAAACTATGCACTATCCTGTCATATTTTTTTCTTCCGACCACTGCCTGGCTAATTTCCAATACTGGAGTTCCATTGCCAAACAACAAGGATGACACTACTTCAAAAACATCGGTGAGTTTCAGCTATAAGTTTTCTGCAATCATAAAGTCATTTTAGATAGCTCATTCAGTGGCAACCACACAATTATCTGGATTCATTCAGTGCCGATTTGAGCGAGTGACAAAAACGTCAGCGGAACCAAGCACCCTGGAGTTAAGTGCCATACTGCGTGTTTTATTTTGGATGCTTTTTGATCAATACTACTGACGAATGGCGTTACACATGTCGTCTACTGAACAATCTAATTATCGAAAACAATCCAGGGGAGTTCAACTATTTTACCATAATTCTACATATGTACTCTTGAATCCTCTTCAGGCAGTACAATCCTGATGACAGATTCCGTTAATTTCAGATCGTGTGCACACATTTTGGCAGCATTATTGTCCTTCGATTCCTCCAAGTTCTAAATAATTAAACTAGGAACGGGTTGAACTTATTTCAAAGTCGTGTTCACGGCTTTTGACTGTGATGTCAGATCCTAAGTGTTAATTGTTGGCAGACTACTGTCAGTTTATCTCTTAATAGGGTCGTGGGAGTTGAACGAATGACTCACGACAATGTTTGATGAGGCCAAACATTCACAATCTACGATTGGGTTAAACATTATCTTAATTTGGAACTTCGGCGAAGTAATCTGCAACGCAGAATTTGAGTCTATCGAGAAATTTTCAACTAATCAAGTGCCGTTTTGGATAACTTTCCTTCTCTTCTATTTTTCCGCGTCATTCATTTCCCAGCAATCTCAGTGTCCACATTAGAACTACTTAATGCTCTGTTTGGAGGATCCTGCTAGTCATTTTTCACAGACAGATCTTACACGATGATAAGTTAGTAACCTACTTCGTGGAGATGGAAAGAATTTCACATAACTACCCAATCGTTCCTGGATGACTAAGCGCTCACAACAAACAATATGCTACTACTGAGAGACTGTGATGGTTTAAAGATGGGGTAAAATAACTGGGAAGCGTCGTTGATAAACAAAGAGGTTCAGATGCAGATGTCAAGGCAAAGATTGGCAAAGCTAGAGCGGCATTCCTTCAACTGAAGAACATATGGAACTCAAAACAACTTTCAACCAATATCAAAGTCAGAATCTTCAATACGAACGTCAAGACAGTCAGTTCTATTGTACGGAGCTGAAAGGCGGAGAAGTACTATAACCATCATCAAGAATGTACAGGTATTTATAAGTAGTTGTCTACAAAAGATACTCAAAATCCATTGGCCGGATACTAACAGCAACAGCCTAATGTGGGAGATAACAAACCAGCTTCCAACTGAAGAGGAAATGAGGAAAAGACGATGGAAATGGATAGGACATACATTGAGTAAATCATCAAACTGCGCTAACTTAGAATCCTGAAGGAAAGCGGAGAAGAGGAAGGACAAAGAACACATTACGTCGGGAAATAGAATCGGATATGAAAAGGATGAATAAGAACTGGAAAGAGCTTGAAAGGATTTCCCAGGACAGGGTTGGATGGAGAATGCTGGTGGTGGGTTGATAAGTGTGAGTATGGATATTGCTTTGTACACTACACGGGAGAACGTAGTCTGAACCAATCGAGTAAACATTGGTTCGTTAGTTCTGCTTTTGTTATAACTTATGAATGGAATGCCGATTGTCTTGGCTCCTTTAACGCTACTTTTTATATGTAGTCGTAGATGATTGTTGTATCGGAAACGCTTATCACTTATACTCGGAACGAGCGACCACCGCGATTCCCACGACGCGAAGTATGAACACAAACTTGTATAAGTGAAGATTTATTAACCCCAAAACACGACGACGACGATAGTCAAAAATACACTCGTTTAAACATTGGTTGTACACACAATTTGATTAATAATTAGGATGAAATCACATATATAAAAAATACTTAGCGTTATAACAAATCACATACTGAGCATAGTTCATGTCAATGAAATACAAGAATATCGTATATTATAAAGAATAAAATATCATACGAGAAAAGAAAATAAATACTACACTGAATGATCATCACATTGAATCAGAACGGAAGTAATGTTGAACAAAACTCATAATTATTAAATCAACCGAATTTTGACTTCTTTCCATCATATCAGATTTCAAGTCAAATACTGGCATTTCGGCTTTTATAGTGGTATTGGCTGTAGTTGCTGCATGGTTTGTAGTAAATTGCCCATAAAATTATTGCAGCTCCTTGTAGTTTGTTGTAGTGATTAATAAGTTGTTCACGTGGCCCTAAATTTATTCCGTACATTATTTCAACGGATATGCATCATATGTCCTCTTTTACCATTGGTCGTATCTTTAGGGGAATAAAGAGATTGGCATCGCCATGTTTGGCTTCGTCAGCCAGAGACGTAAGCGACCTTGGAGATGTGTAGGCAGATCAGAAAATTTATCAGGCTGTTGGGAATTCGTGCGGTGTACTATTGCATCAAGAAATATTGCTACACCTTAGCGTTACATATCAAGGTGAAATCACTGCTAAATCATGTTGCATTGTTGAAATGAACTTGGACTCAGTTGAGGTTGATTGTCAGTATACAAAATCTACATTTTCAATCACTAAATAACATGTCTTCAAGTACAGAAACCTTCGACGATAGAGATGACACGAGAAATCAAATCAAGGTTCTCTCAACTGTTTAAAAGTCTGAGCTGCTGAGTAAGAACTCTAGCTGCTTCGAAATCAAACCCAGACAGCACACCTGTTTTTTACGAAACAGCCAGCACATTATGCTACATTTCAAAAACTCGTAGAGAAATAAAGCGCCCTGGAGGTATCTCTCTTGTGTTATACTCTGGTTGGAAGACACTAACAGTGAAGATCGAACAAGAAACTCATGACGTTAGTATATATGCTGACATTTCAGCCAATCTAAACGCCTCTCTGGAACACCACCACCTGCAACATATAACGAAAGATGTGCTTAATAAGTTGATGGAAAATATTTTGCGAAGTTAAATATCAGCGATGCATATATGCCGGTGGAAGTTTCATTGTAAAATCACAAACGTTTCGCCATTAACACATAGAAATGGTAATTTGAATGTAACATATTGCCTTATGGAGTTAAAATTGCCCAGCTATCTTTCAACAGATAATGGGTGCTGTGATACGAAACATCAATGTGGCTGAATTATACCTAGATGTTATAATCATTATGTGGAGTCTGAATACTGAACTTAGATAAAGGAACCCAAGGGTTTATAAGTATATTGGGAAATGGGGTTCGACTGTACCCAGCAAGATTCTTGCTTCAATTACGTATTTCGGATTTATCTCTACTGCCATTCTGATCGAGAAAATGTCAAAAGTAATCAAAAAGAGCCAATGTAGTACCCCAGTTGCATACTACCACCCTTTTGCAAAGGTCGTTTTCATCACAAATAATGAATCTTACTAAGAGTTTATAACATCATTACCCGAGCGACCTACAGTGTATGGTCCTTGTCATAAACAAAAAATGATTTACTGAAGAGTTTGGGTGATTGACGAGTATACTAAAACTTCGTAAACTTATAGCCGGTTTTTCAATGAGAAAATGGAAATTTTCGCAAAGACTTTACTATAACGAAGCCCAAAGGTTAATAGGCAAATGATATTACAATAAAGCCAAAGCTTCAGTTGTATAACAGGATATTAACAAATCACAGTTTATAATTTTCAGATAATAGTAAATACCGGTGAGAATTCACGATTACAGTTAACCTTAATAAATGTACGAATGGTGAGATTGATATTGTTATAAAAGCGTCTTAAGTTAGTTTATTTAATACTAAATAAACTCCTTTAGATAACTAAAATTTGAACTTTGTTTAATTGATTAAATGAATATCATTTTTTTTTTAAAAAAAAGGAATAAAAACCTAACAACGATAATGATCCTCCATTGCTTCCCTCAATCATTTACATAAAGTAGAGAAGAACAACTCAATTATAAACATTACGTTTGAAATGAGAATTTATTACACATTTAGAATAAAATAAATAACTACACATGTATATTTATTAAACATACAACAGTAAAGACAATAAAACCAACAGTACAATTTATGATAGAATATTAAGAAATAATTATAACTAAACTGGTACATATTCACAAAAAAAACAAAAAAAAAAACTAAAACCAATTGCATACCGACATAACTATGGAACATAAATGATATGAAGAAGAAAAAAAGAGAAGGAGAAACAAACATACAATAGAAGAAAAAAATACAAACAAACAAATGAAATAATCAAACGGACAATAGTAGTAGAATCCATCAAAATTCATTCTATTCAAAATCTATAAAGAATAAGTTATTATGGTTTTGATGAAACAATTGTACACATATAAAATTCATCAATTACATATACACATATACGCATAAGTTTATTCATCATATAAATATGAAGTGAATTTGACAATTAACATATTGAGCATAATTTGACACGTACACATTAGTTTACATTTATAGTAAATTAATTATAGCGATAATAAAAAAAATGAATAAATTAAAAAAAAAACAGGATTACCAAACACCAATCCTACTCTGTGTCCTTTTTTTTCCAGATCATAGAAATGCACAAACAGAACAGAAAAAAAGAAATAGGACAACTTGACAACATGAACAGAGTAACATTGAAAGGAATGGAAAACAGTAAAACATCCAAAAAGATATTTTTTGGAAAAAAAATATTACAAAATATCAACTATTTAATTTCATTTACAATTAAATTAGCAGCAGACAAACGTTGAAATGCAGCAATAATAATAATGATAATAATAATAATAATAAAACAAACAAATATGTGTAGTAATCAATCATTAGAAATTACGAAAACAATTGTGGAAATGTAACATTAGAATAGAAATACATTATTATTATTATCATTAGTATGTGTAATGCAAAAGATTATTGATAACTGCAAGTTCCATTAATATCTATGCGGATTTCATGAATAGAAGAAAAACGTTTTTCTAAAAAAAAATGAGAAAAACATTCTTAAAATGTGAGACAAATTATATGATCGAGATATATAATTTATTTGGAAAATTTAAGTAATATTATATTCTCCTGGAGGTTGTTGTGATTATGAAAACCTACATATTTGAAAGGAAACACGGAATACAATGGATGATTTGGACTTCGCAGATGACTTAGCTCTACCAACTCATAAACAACAACAAATGCAGGTGAATACAGCTAGTGTAGCACTAGCCTCTGCACCAGTATGCCTCAACATTCACAAGGGAAAAAGTAAGATCCTCAAATACAACACACAGAACACCAGTTCAATCACACTTGTTGGAGAAACTCTGGAACAGATGGAAGTCTATACATACATTAACATCATCATCCATGAACAAAGAGAATTTGATGTAGAGGTGAAGGTAAGGATTGGCAAAACAAAGACCACAATCCTACAGTTGAAGAACAAATGGAACCCAAAACAACTGCCAACCAATATCAATGTCAGAATCCTCAATACAAATTTGAAGACAGTTCTACTGTATAGAGCTGAAACTTCGAGACCTACTACAATAATCATCAAAAAGTACAAATGTTTTTAAACAATTGTCTACGTAAGATACTCAATATCCGTTGGTCGAATACCATCAGTAACAACCTACAGTGACAGAGAACAAACCAACTTCCAGCCAAATATGAAATTAGGAAAGGATGCTTAAGGTGGATAGGACATACATTGTGAGTGTCATCACGAGGCAAGGCCTAATTTGGGATTCTGAAGAGAAAAGGAAAATAGGAAGACCAAGGAACATATTGATTTTGGAATTGGAAGCAACTGGAAAGGATTACCCAGAATAGAGTTCGATGGAGAATTTTGGTGAGTGGTCTATGCTCCTCTGTAAAAAAAGGATGCTGATTATGTTTTCCAGAAAGACAACAAGAGCTGTACAATTAACTCAGATAACTATCACCAAAAGTACATTTGTACACATGATCTCAATCCTAAACTTGACCCTACATAAATAACATATTCTTACTATAGCACAGAGCAACGGCAAATTTATCACAGCAACTCAATCAATGGAAGCCAATTACTTTAATTACTTAGTTTGAAAAGCCTACAAATTCATCATATTCCACATATCAACAAACAATGACCTACTGCAATAATTAGGAAACTTATTCTGAATGCAACAAATTTTCATTGAATTCTCATCATTATTGTTATTACAATAATTTGACAATTGTGCTATTTGATTTGATTTTCCTAATGTGATAAGAAAACTTGAGCTTATACACATCCGTATCATGATCTATGTTTGAGTTTGTCATACTTGAAATATTTTCAAATAAAATTCTTAATAATTTTATCATCACATACAAAATAAGCATAGATACTCAATTCAACTTTTCCCATTTATAAACTTGATTTTAGAAAGAATAAACATCATAGCGAAATTATTTTATTAATTTTATTTGAACACATAAATATTGATACAAGAAGGCACCAAATATATATGCGCCACACAGATATCAATTGATATGTGTGAGGGCTGTGATGCTACACAGGTGCCTAAACCGAAGCAGGTGGTTTTCTTAGGAGGCCACACCCCGAGCCTTTGACCTAAAGGTCTGACCCACAAGGCAGTAGAGCATCGTGAGGAGATGCAGTCCCATGGTAGCCGGCGACCAACGATTGGTTCATACGCCATTTGTTCCCGCAGGATACTGGAGCCCATGTGCACCATTGGTTTGGGGTCCGGTTAAAGCGCCGGAAGTTCGCTTTTCGTCCTCTCATTTTTGTAAACAACACCCCCGCCACGAGAAGGCAGTGAGTAGGACTTCCCTGGCAGAGGCTGTATACACGTGGCCGTGTGAGAGTATTTCGAGAGGGAGGGCGGGCCCACCCCACTCTCGGCCCTACCAGGGCATTTGGGGGCTCATAGCGAAATAACATGAATTCATCTATTTCATGCATTCTCCCCTCAAATGCTTATAACCTAAAACCATAGTATTAATCATTAAAAACAAATGTACATATTTTATATCAATCGTGTAATTGCTCATCATTCGTTTGACAATGAATATGATGTTCAAGTTGTGAAATATTTCAAATAATCAATAAAAAAAGGAATTCAAAATTATTACACTTTGAAGAAGTTGTTTGAATAAAACTATTTTTGTCCGATTCATGTATCTATCCAACAAGTAACAGTTCTAAATCTTGTTTTTATCCTATTGACCTTAATTTTTTAAGATTATTAGGCAAGGACTTTTTTTCTCTCTATAAACTTTAATTCAAATTTCCAATATCATAATTCTTACTTTTGAGTATTACTCAACTAGTCTATACTGCATAAATTATCTTTGGTTTTAAAAAATTCTGTCTCCATGACTTTCTGGAATATTTATATATTTAATATGTAAATAAATAAACGTTTGTACACTAGTAATTCTTCTGTATTATTGCCTACTAATATGATCCACATATTAACATCTAATATGAAGCGTACATACAAATGTCAAGACAGTTCTACTGTATGGGGCGGAAACCTGGAAAACTACGAAATCCATCATCCAAAAGATACAGGTGTTCATTAACAGTTGTCTACGCAAAATACTTCAGATCCGTTGGCCGGACACTATTAGCAACAACCTACTGTGGAAGAGAACAAATCAGATCCCAGTGGAGGGAGAAAACAGGAAGAAGCGCTGGAAGTGGATAGGACACACATTGAGGAAAGCACCGAACTGTGTCACAAGACAAACCCTCACATGGAATCCTCAGGGTCGAAGGAGGAGAGGAAGACCAAAGAATACATTACGCCGAGAAATGGAGATAGATATGAGAAAAATGAACAAGAATTGGATGGAACTATAAAAGAAGGCCCAGGACAGAGTGGGTTGGAGAATGCTGGTCGGCGGCCTATGCTCCATTGGGAGTAACAGGCGTAAGTAAAGTAAGTATGAAGCGTATAGACTTATTTCATTTTAATGATTAATTCTACAGTTTTAAATTGTAAATAGCTAAAGAGAATTCACGAAATAAATGGATTCATGTTATTCTGTTACGATATTTGTTATGTCTTTATTCAAATATACATATATGTTAATTGATAAACAGTTAAATTTAATTTAAATAGTTGAGATCATGAATCAATTGAAGTTCGATCACCATGGAAAACTTGAACGGCCGTCTTGTTCTATTGTGGGACTTCTGAACAGTGCATATCTACGATCCCTTAAGTTGTATTATATCATGATCTTAATCATTGAAATTACTATAATATCCACAAAAACCATCTGATATTAATCAACATATGCTCACTAGTGACTGGCTTCAAGAGGTATATCCTGGAGTTCTAGTGAGAAATAGTGACCAGTGGAGTTCAACCAGGTCTGTTGTAAGATAGTAACTCACTAAAGACAATGGTGGATGTGTAGCTCAAATTTGTAGATTAGTTGAAGTTAGACATTAACAACGTTGGATTTCGGCTCAGTGGTCTGGTGGTTAAGTGCTCGCGCGCGAAACCAGTAGGTCCTGGGTTCGAATCTCGCAGGGGGCGAGGTCGTGGATGCGCACTGCTGAGGAGTCCCACGATAGGACAAAACGGCCGTCCAGTGCTTCCAGGTTTTCCATAGTGGTCTAGCTTCAACTGACTCATGATCTTAACCATTGAAATTATTTTTTTCATTAATACATTTTATCAATTGATTCTTATTCGAAGTAGTGTATTAATATTTCTTCTCATTTTCGCACCAAATCATTATATTAACACAGTACAAAACATAATCATTGTGAAAAAATAAAAAAGAATAAATTTCTCTTCATATTACTAACATGAAACAAATGACGCAAAATATATAAATGAAATATTCTATATATATTAAAAATAAATGTAGTAAAAATTGTAAAACATAATACGTAAACAATATTGATGTATACACATAAATAGTATCAAGAGAATTCGTTTTGAGTGAGCTAAATAAAAATACACCTTCAGTAGGAGTATAAATGAATGTACTCCATTAACTCAGAATAACATTGAGGTGTGTGCTACTGATGTCAACAGATATAAGAAGTATGAATCACTAATCGAAAGTGGAATGTTTGGCCTCAGAAGGTTGAAAAAATTGAAGAGAAAAGAACAAGAATAGAGAGTGATTGGTATGGAAACGAATGAACAATAAAATCTGAGACAATTGATGGATATCTACTGTATGGTTCACAGATTTTACCAAGTTATTCTGTAATGTATTAAAATACATTTGGTTGTCCCCTCTTGTATTCTCGTCCACTACAGTATCAGCATATGATTTATGTTTATTTAGTAAATTGCAATGAAAGTACGCAAATAATAAGATACAACAGTCGTGATAGAATAATGAATAATTATATTGAAATACTGTGATTATTAACTACTTCCTACTTCTGTTGTCTAGCATATACACTAGTAAAAAAATGTCATATTATACAAGCAGGTTATTGTATGATTTATAAAATTTCGAACTTTAAAACAATGACAATGATGTAAAATTAACTTGAGCTCAAGAATTAACAGTTAATTTATGATGTTTATCCGAATACAAATGGAATAACGAGAAGCTCATTTGGGAGGCAATGAAAATGTTTCGACAGTGTTGAATGTAATAATTTACGATTGTAGCTACTACCTTGACATGGTTAATGAGCATGTATATCAAAATGACTAAATTAATCTATGTTGTTTCCAAAACTCGTTCTATGAGGTCTTATAGTGCCAGGCACGTTGGATAAAAACAGGAGACTCATGGCATGCAAGGAGGAGTCTTAATTCTGACTGTGTAGAGGTATGACAGTGTATTGAACGAGGACTTGGAGGAGATAACCAACTTATTGTTTAATGCAAAATCACACAATAGTTTAGTAAAATATGAAAATTATACATTAAATGCGTCATATACATATCTTCATTGCATTGTCCTTTACACACTTTATCGTTGCTCTAATTCTGTTATTTTGATTGCGTCAAGATATTCTTCCTGTTCCCTTTATTACAATCTTCTACTGCCAGGCATTCTACTTCCGATTAAAGCTACATACTACTTATGTCTATCAGCATAAGTGGCATACACCGCAACAGTAGAAACGTGTCTTTTTTAGCCAACCAGCATTTGCAGCAATACTTTATTCTCTCAACGGAAAGAAGAGGTTGGGATTTCTATCAAAAATGGTGAGGAGTTGTAAGTACATGGAGAGCTCGTCACAAGAAATCTGTATGCAACTGCTATTAAGCAGTTGTCCCATGAGCACTGGGGTCATCAAGATTACTTCTAACCCAGTTTCCTTTCCAAGTATCTCAGAGAATAAGCATCCTTCAAAGATGTGGAGAACCAGGAAGTGACAACTGACTTCATACCTCTAACACTACTCGAGATAATAACGTACACAGTTACGTCCCATGTCTATCACCTAAAATAATATGTTCGATTTACAACTTATGAGATTGATATAGATATTTTTACGAAATTCGTATTAGGTATCATTACATGAAGATTCGTCGATATTTATTTCATCAGATAGCCTAGAAAATGTAACAATTTGAGTAATATTGTATTCGAGTAAGAAGTGAATCTCAAAGATTGTATATTACAGAATATGCCAAACTCCACATAGTTGTCGAAACAGGTAAACATCAGTATGCTCTCAATTTATCACTATCTCTGGATATCGATTTTGTCGTTACAAAACATGAATTATAATCATACAGTAAATGATTTTGCTGTTGCGAAACATTTACTATATAGTTATACGCAACATCACAAATAGTGCACAAGTGCATCGGTTTAACTTGCCGCATTCTATCAACAGAGAGAGGAAATTTTCGTAGTAAATCCCAGAATAGTAGAGATAGTAGTATAGTGAGTGAAAACTTGCTGAGGAATACAAATTCTTGGTCTTATGCAAAACCGAATTGTAGCTTTGTAAAATACGAAAATCATACATTAAATACATTTTGCAAATCTTCCTTCAGTTGTCCTTTACACACTCCATTACCCTTCATTTTCTTTCCGCTTCTCTTTATTTCACTCTTCTATTAAACAATCCACTTGGAATTCCTGCTACATGCTACTTGTCTGTCCGAAGAAGTAGTGCACACCACAGTGACAGTATCAGTATTAATGGAAAAGATTAGTCACTGAAGATATGACTTGGGAATAAAGTACGGGTTAGTAGGATGATCATAATTCAGAACCTACGGGAAGATAAAGAGTGAATGCAACTGCGCCATTGTGAACATTTCTAAGTAATGTCAACCAGACTCTGTATCTATGGCTTACGATAATCACCCATACACCCACACACCAGGTAGTCCGCATTTACCTATGAGGCTCAGTCCGACAGTTAGATGAAAAATATATTCAATAACATACAATGTACTGAATTCCAATTACTATTAAACGAATCAAATTTATTGTGTGAAAGTTAGTCATTCACTCATAAGGTAGAGAAAATGCGACATGGTAATTCAAGCAACACATTATTAACAAATTTGATTAAAACTTCACTTACCCAAAATCAAAATACTCACACAACAGTAAGCACAAGTAATTAATTTCTAACTCAGTAATTGAATAGTACTAGAATCAGATGGCATTCCATTTGGATTACTGTTTAAAGTATCTGAGGAGTTAGTTGAATGTGGGACTGTATTATTATGCATTGCACCGTTTGTGTTAATCTTCTCATTGTCATTATAAATGCCTACGGCGACATCACCAGTGATGGACTCAAGTTTCTGTACAGTTGTTGCACTTGAAGTAGAGTCCGTAGACATACTCGATGTCGCCGTATCCATGGCAGCACCATCAGGAACCTCAGAGATATTACCACAATTTGATGATTGAGAACTTGAAATACCATTTTTCTTCAATACAGTGGAAGACTTCGTATGATCCGATATTTGCTGACTAAGATCTGGAGTTTCTTCAACATGAAGAGATTCTTCTACAGAAGAGATTATATTTGAAGGACTTTCACTATACTCTGCATCAATGATATCTTCATTAAAAAATCGATCTAAACGAGTTGCATATTCAGAAAATAATTCGATATCATTATGACCTGCTCCTTCAATCCAAGCTGGTTCAAGAGGATTAGTAAGCCGAGAATACAATTCTCTTCCATGATCTATGCCAATGATCTCATCATCAGTTCCATGGATAATTAATGTTGGTGAAAGAATCCGAGATACTTTATCAATGCTAAACAATACCCAAAAAATAAACAAGTAATACGTTGTTAAGTAATAAAAACCCACAAACAAAAACTTGAAAACCACTTATAAAAAAAATTATATATAAACAAAAATATAATCTAATCTAAATTATGAGTAATAATGAATATGGAACGATTGTCGTATTTGCTTACAAATTACGGAAAACAGAAACTTGTATCTTACGGAATACAGAGAAATAGGTTCATAAGGGAATAAAAGTGCAATGCAAAAAAAATTAGAAAAGTACATTTCACCAGTTTATGTATATTTTAAAATGCAGACATTTCAATAAAACTATGAAACAGTAATTTGTACTCCTTATTAATGAAATATGGATTGTTACGATTAATTTGATGAAGAATCTAATTTACTGAAAATTGGTCAGTAGTTTAATTAAGGTCATTTTATAATTTACTTCAATACCATTTCAATTCACATAATCTCTTTGCTACTATTTGTTATGAAGTAAGATTTTATGAAGAGGAGTTTGGATCACTAAGTAAATATATAGGGATTCTAAACAATAGATGATATGGGATGATACAATGTAAGCGAGAATGGCTGTTTATCAGACCGAATTATTGAACTGATACCCGAAAAGACAGCTTATCAGTGAAAGAAAGCTTTACTTCTAACAAAATAATATGTTTATATTGCAAAATATTGACAACATGAATAAATATAAATAGAAAATATAAATATAGTGTTCGGGGATATAGGAACTACAGGCACCTACAAAATTAAATACAATTGTTTGCAAAAAATTGGGCTTTGGGTCAATAATATTTATTATTATTAAAAATTTGTAGATTTTCTCTTCCATGTGATTGAAAAAGTACCTCCGAATCATGGGTTCTAATAATCGTCACTCCGAACGGATTACACACATCAGAGGAAAAGGAGAAGAGTACACAACAAATGCAACATCAGATAAGCTATAACCAATTTTGTTCATGTAAAAGACAATATACTGAAGGATTCACAAGTTAATTTTATCTACTATGAGCTGGGTGGTATGGCCGTGGACCTTTCATCGTTCTTCTGAACATTGAGTAGAAGAGAAGTATTCGGATTTCTCCATTTATGACTTTCAGCTTGTCCTGTCGACCTCGATCTTGATTGATTGTTGTTGATCTTTAACTTGTCATCGTCTATCTGTTCATTTTGTTTGTATCCCCTTTTTGATCTGATTCTTGCTTCTATATTTGTCCGTGGTTTTTCTGATTGGCTGGTAGATTGGATCGATTTTGATGTGTTTGTTGGTTGCTTCTAAAATTTCCCTTCTGTTCTTAGTATTCCCAATATCCAGGATCCCAACATTTCTCCAGTTGAATATGTATCCACAGCTGTTCACATGAATTGGTATAAGTGAAGATATTTCATGGCGTTTGACCGCTAATTGATGTTAATGAAGGCGAAGATAAAAGGAGTGTCCACCTTGTCTGACATAGTATTTCCCAATTGGAACAGTTTATTTTGTAGATGATGTTCGGTTTTTCTTTTTTGCCAACAGCCCAACCTATTCAACTACTGAGAAATCCAACAGAGCTTAAAAAACATGGGATATCTCCAGACATAGGTTTACACACTGTAATATTATGCCACAAGACTGACTTTGATGATATTGAGATTATTCAGAAAAGATTTAAAAATATTTTTTTAAAACACATTTCATAGCAGAAGCAACTCACACAAAATGGAATCCAAATTTCGATAGAACAATGAGAAGACGGAGTTGATCTGAAAAATGTGATGTACTTGCGCTATACATTTCAAACAATCTGGTCACACATATACTTCTCAGGGCATTTTATATTTAAATTAATAAAGGTTAATTAAATGAAGGTTCAAGTAAAAAAGTAACAAAGGGGAGAGAAACAATTTTACATCGTATAGAAAGAATAAGAAATTGTCACGTTATCCTAGGCCATAGAATGACTTTGAGATTACCAAGGTAAATTCAAGGTTACGACAAATTTTTTTTGCACACATGAGGGGGGTTTAAATTTACGAATAGCCAAGGCTTTAATAAACTTGAGAATTCGCCCTTGACAATTTCTATACAACGTTTTAAAAGCTGTATTTATGTCAATTTTGTGCCCTGTTTTAACCATATGTTTCGCTATCGATGAACCTGGCTTTCTACCTCCCACGTTGATCGGATCATTTGACATACATTGATTTTGAAACCATCTAGGCACATATTCAATGACCCTTGATTTCATTGTTCGATTATTCCTCCCTATGTATGTGTGTCCACACAAACATGTAAACTGGTAAATACAATGGGATGTGATGTAGTCATTAGTGCATTGTCTAGGTCTCTTTGGGATCATGGGCTTAGACTTTTCAATCACAACCAATTGAGCAGTATAATTTATTTATTTATTTGAACACATAAATATTGGTACAGGGGGCACCAAATATATATGCGCCACACAAAACAATCATAATTTGAAGAAAAGGAGAAAATAAATAAATAAAAAATAAAAAAAAGTAATGAACGTGGGGAATTATAAAAAAAAGAGGGAGAGAACAATGATGGGGAAAACGGAAAGGTACAATCAGAAGAAATCTTTCAGTTAAGGAAGATACAACCACTTTTTATGAAGAAAGTAAAAGAAAGTTACAGCAGGATCGCCATTGGTTTCTATTCTGAGCCATATCTGATAACGTCTCTAGCCACTGCGTTACACCGTCTCTCGGACCCCAGCCAGGGAGTCGTGAAGGACCAACAGAAGCTAGCCTTTTGTAAGTCGTCTGGGCCCGGTGATTTATAACGTTTCAAGAGTTGGAGTTCCTTGCGGACTTCCGCCTCATTTGGTGAATCATTCGTCACCGGCCATGGAGGGCAGGACAGTCTGACCGACGTTGCCGGAGCAGCAGGCCAGTTGAACTGCCCTTTGAAAAATTCTGCCCATTGTCCAAGACGTCGATGGATGTTAGTGATTGGCGTTCTGTCATCCTCGCAGATTGTTTAGCTCACACCAGACTTCTTGCTGCCAGTGGATCGGATGAGCTGGAAGAGCTTCCGGTAATTATCAGATGCAGCTGCTGCTTCCAGCTCGTTAGCAAGCTCCGACCACCAGGCTTCTCAGGCCTTACGCAAGTTTTGCCCGATTTCATTACGTAAAATCCTTCGTCTGTGGTCAAACTCACGGTCACCCGGAGTAGACCGACGGGCTTCAATCAGTTGTAAGGAACCAGAAGAAACCCAGTGCTTGTAAGCGGAACGTTTCGCGAACCCACAACAGACTGTACCCGCCATTTTCATGGCGTCATGCAATTGCAACCAATGCTCATCTATACTTTTCGGTGGAATGGTAGCTAGCCTAGAAGCTAGCTCGGTTCGGTACTTACTAGCAACAGAAGTTGCAACCAGCTTGCTAACGTCAATCCTTTGGTGGCGGTCACTTCGTTGTCCACTGAAAAGTAAGGTAAGATTGGCGCAGACCAGAGCATGATCAGATTCCAGATAGGTACTCCAAAAGGAGCGGCAGTCTTGTACACAACCACGCCAGCGGTAGCTGATCGCGATGTGATCAATCTGTATCCAGGCTTGAGATGCAGAAAGGGGACGACAGGTGGCACATCGGTGATGACTGTGCCGAAAGTTAGTGCTAGCCAGAAACAGGTTGTGGTCTGTGCATAGCTGCAGTAGACGTTCCCTGTTATCTGTCCTGCGACCAACAAGTCCCCATCAGCCACCTAAACGACCCTCTTCTGTGCCTAGACGCCCGACCTGAGCATTCAAGTCTCCAGCTAGTACTACAATATCTGTCGAACGCACTTTCTGGAGAAGAACAGTTAACTGGTGTTAGAATTCATCCTTGATTGCATTCGGGCTGCAATCTGTCGGGGCATAGGCGGAGATGACGAAAAGACATCGTTTCTCACGCCTATTTCCTCTCACCTTGATGGAACTTTCTAATCTAACAGCACATAACCGACTGTTAATGAGGATCCAGTCGACTAGTGCTGCCTCAGCTCTTGCGCTTAGTGCGACACCAACGCTAGCAAGACCAGAGGAAGATGACACAGGGTCCCCGGATAAACGCACATAAAACAAGCTTTTTGAAGCGACAGATGGAGAGCGAACTTGTAGTACTTCACCAGAGTCTTGAATACGGGTCTCGGATAGACAACACACGTCGATATTAAGACTTTCCAAAGACATAGCCAGCCCTATCTGTTGTCCGACCTGCATAAGTGTGCGATCGTTGAAGGCAGCCAGTTTGAATGGTGCACGTGGTTTCAGAAAAACTGCTTCAGTACTCATATTCGGTGGTAACGTACAATTTTCAACCAGGCAGTGACTCGAGAACGTTTAGATAAAGCTGAATTTTCACCATAGGCGAGCTGCTGTCTAGGTCGAAACAGATACATAAAGTAGGAATAAGAGAGGGTGAATAAATGACGTGGTAAAATAATAATAATAGTGCGAGTAATTTCAATGTTAATCAGAGAGAAAGGAATATTTTCCATAAGCAAATAGTTCATCATGATTTTAGTGCGTGGGCTGAGATACTGCCCGGGTGCCCAAACCGAACCAGGTGGTTTTCTTAGGGGGCAACACCCCGAGCCTTTGACCTAAAGGTCTAGTCCACAAGGCAGTGGAGCATCATGAGGAGATGCAGTCCCATGGAAGCCGGTGACCAAAATTTGGTTCATACGCCATTTGTTCCCTCGGGATACTGGAGCCCATGTGCACCATTGGTTTGGGATCCGGTTATAGCGCCGGACATTCGCTTTTCATCCTCTCATTTTCATAAACAACACCCCCGCCACGAGAAGGCAGTGAGTAGAACTTCCCTGGCAGAGGCTGTATACGCGTGGCCGTGTGAGAGTATTTCGAGAGGGAGGGCGAACCCTCCCCGCTCTCGGCCATACCAGGGCATTTGGGGGCTGAGCAGTATAACGTATGAGCAGTATAATAGGTTTTCTCTATGGCCGCTTTCAATCTGTCTTAAAACTATGCTGTTGGAT